CCAGTGATGGCGAACCTGTGACACGCGTGTCAGAGGTGACACGCGAACTCATTTTTTTTGGTTGATTTTTCTTTGTTAAATGGCATTTAAATATATAAAATAAATATCAAAAATATAAATCTTTGTTTTACTATGGTTGCAAATATCAAAAAATTTCTATATGTGACACAGCACCAGAGTTAAGTTAGGGTTTTTCAAAATGCTGACACGCCGAGCTCAAAAGGTTCGCCATCACTGGCATAGGGACTATAGTCAATAATTGTAATATCTATGTATGGAGCCACGTGGGTACTAGACTTATGGAGGGATCATTTCATAAATTATGTAAATGTCTAGCCACTATGCTGTACACCTGAAACTAATACAAAACAATATTAAATGTCAACTGTAATTGAAATGAAAATGTTAAATTTTAAAAAAATGACAATTTTCAAAAATAGTAAATTAACATTCACCACCTAAATTCAATAATCGTGAAGGTCTGCCACATCTACTGTTAATATTGCTGTCCTCTCTGAAAGTCAGGCAAGTGCTTCATTGGGGGTGTGGAATTTTAGAGTGAGGAATTGGTGTCACCGTCTCCAGGGCTGGCACATTAGTTTCACTGAACCCCTTCGCAAAGACACTGCAGCCCTCGCTGGTCTGGCTCAGTGGATAGAGCGTCGGCCTGCGGACTGAAGGGTCCCGGGTTTGATTCCGGTCAAGGGCACATGCCAGGTTGCAGGCCCCATCCCCAATAGGGGGCGTGCGGGAGGCAGCTGATCTATGATTCTCTCTCATCATTGATGTTTCTACCTCTCTCTCTCCCTCTCCCTTCCTCTCTGAAGCCAATAAAAATATATTTTTTTAAAAAAGAAAATACATAGCAGGCAACATGTAGATGTCACCTTCACCCACTTCTGGAGGGAGCCTCCTCTTCAAATCAAAGCATATTCCCAATAACCAAGACTTGGAAACAGCCTTCGTGTCCGTGGCAGATGATTACATAAAGGTGTAGCACAAATATGCAATGGGACACTACTCAGCCATAAGAAATGATGAAACAAGTAATATTGGATTTTCTAGTCTTGGCGAGATTTTGCCCTCCTCGTGATGCCCAAAATGCTAGAGCTAAGAGGAAAGTACTTAGCAGATTTTGTGTTTATGAAAATTGACACAGGCCGTTTCCATTTAAAGATAAAATGAAACAAAAGCAGAGGCGGAAGCTTTTGCGGCAGTAGAGGAAAGCGAGAACTAAACAGAAAACTAAGAGAGAAAGAAATGCATAAACAAATAAAACTTGGACAGAGCAGAATCCCCCAAAAAGGAAAAGATGGGGGTAGAAGTAAATGAAAAACAAGGAAAGGGGGGAGGGGAAGAGTTCTGACATCAAAGATTGGGACATAGAGCAACTTCTTAAATGTACAAAAGTCTTGCCCAGCCAGCGTGGCTCAGTGATTGAGCTTCGACCTATGAACCAGGAGGTCAGGGTTCGATTCCCAGTCAGGGCACATGCTTGGGTCTTGGGCTTGATCCCGAGTAGGGGGTATGCAGGAGGCAGCCAATCAGTGATTCTCATTATTGATTATTGGTTCTCATTAGTGATTCTCATTCTCTCTATATATATTCCTCTCTGAAATCTATAAAAATATATTAAAAATAAAAAGATGGGGCCAGGCACAATGGCTGAGCAGTCTTCAGCAGCTGCTCTGTGTGAGAGGAAGGAAAGCTGGACCCCAGGCTGGTAGGCAGCTCACACCGGTTTCCACTGCAAATTAAAACTTCTCTGGGAGTCGGTCAGTGTCCTCCTGATAGGCGAGGCTGGGGGTCTGGACCCTAGAAGGGCACGAACAAGAATCAACCAATGAGCCCTGACCGGTTTGGCTCAGTGGATAGAGCGTCGGTCTGCGGACTGAAGGATCCTAGGTTCGATTCCGGTCAAGGGCATGTACCTTGGTTGCGGGCACATCCCCAGTGTAGGGTGTGCAGGAGGCAGCTGATCGATGTTTCTCTCTTATCTATGCTTCTAACTCTCTATCCCTCTCCCTTCCTCTCAGGAAAAAATAAATAAAATATATTTTTTTTAAAAAAGAATCAACCAATGAGGGTATAAATAACTGGAACAACAGATCTGTGTTTCTCTTTCCCTCCCTGCCCCTCCCTCTCTAAAATTAAAACAACAACAACAGAAAAAAACACTTCTCTGAAGGAGCTAGTTCTGCCTGGAACATTATCACTTCAGACCTAAGTGAAATGATTTTACCTGTGAATCCTTTGCTACAAACATAGGAGCTCTTCCCCAGCTGATGTGAGTGTCCAGTGTGGGAGGCAGCCAATCGATGTGTCTCTCTCACACTGATGTTTTTCTCTCTCTGCCTCTCCCCTCCCTTCCACTCTCTCTCTCAGAAAAAAAATCAATGGAAAATTATCCTTGGTGAGGATTTTAAACAAAAGAAGAAGAAAAAAGGAGAGGTGAGAATGAATCTGGGATGTGGATTGAAATTTGAAGTGTTGGAGTGAACTCAGGTTTTTATTTTATTTTTTTTTATATTTTTTTAATCATTTGTACTTGGCTATTTTATTAATTTTTTTATATATTTCATTGATTTTTTACAGAGAGGAAGGGAGAGGGATAGAAACATCGATGAGAGAGAAACATTGATCAGCTGCCTCCTGCACACTCCCTACTGGGGATGTGCCCCCAACCAAGGTACATGCCCTTGACCGGAATCGAACCTGGGACCCTTCAGTCCGCAGGCCGACGTTCTATTCACTGAGTCAAACCAGTTAGAGTTAGGGCTGAACTCAGGTATATAAAATATACCTGAGAGAGAGAGAGAGAGAGAGAGAGAGAGAGAGAGAGAGAGAGAGAGAACTTCCTAGCGTTGTGCACTGGGAGGGTCTGGGAGAGGCAGTACCCCAGTAATAATAGACATGCTTAGCACTTAGGTCTTGGTTTCTAAATAGTATTCTCCACTAAAAGAAAAAACTGGAAACAACAAATGAACAAACAAGGCAAACAAAACTCAACAGACCCAGACAAAGTATGGTGGTTACCAGAGGGACAGGAGGTGGGGATAGTACAGGGTAAAGGGAGTCAAATATATGGTGACGGAAGAGTTGCCTTTGGGTGGCAAACACACATGGCAACATCCAGCTGGAGTGTCATAGAATTGTACTTGATGCCTGGAAAGGATCGAGCCCGCAGCCCGGGCATGCACCCTAACCAGGAATCGAACTGTGACCTCCTGGATCCTAAATGGATGCTCAACCACTGAGCCACACTGCATCTCAAATCAATACGTGTTGCCTCTCCGTGTCACCTTTTATGTTTAGGTTAGCGATGCTTACTCCTTTTCTCTTCCTGATTCTATCACTCCCTAGTCCAGGGGTCCTCAAACTTTTTAAACAGGGGGCCAGTTCACTGTCCCTCAGACCGTTGGAGGGCCGGACTATAGTTTAAAAAAAAACTCTGAACAAATTCCTATGCACACTGCACATATCTTATTTTGAAGTAAAAACACAAAACGGGAACAAATACAATATTTGTATTTGCATGTGGCCCGCGGGCCGTAGTTTGAGGACCCCTGCCCTAGTCATTTATTTTGTGGCCTAGGAGTGTGTGGAGGGGTTCTCTTTGCTTTGGAGGGGGTGGTACAGATGCCAGGGAGGGAGGCCTGAAGAGCCATTGCTGTTAAAGGCTAAGCCAGAGGGAGATTTATGAGCAGCCTGACCCAGCTCAGCCGGCCTCCAGCCGAGACACGGTCACCCTGTGCAAAGGGCTGTTCTGGGGCTCAGGGCGGTGCTGTGTGCTTCACTCCACTCGGCCCCACAGAGCAGTGTATCTGCAGTGCCTGCCCGTGTGTGGGAGTAGCTGTGCGTGCACACGGCTGGTGATGGGCCTTCCCCCGAGTCTGTGGGGAAGGAGTCTGGGAGGTGGTGGTCATAGCAGGGGCCAGAAAATAGTATGGAGCCCTTCTGTGTCTCATTTTTAATTTGCGATCATGGATCATGCAGTGAACTTTTCCTGTCTGTTTTTTTTTTAAAAAAGATTTCTTAGCTCTAGCCGGTTTGGCTCAGTGGATAGAGCATCGGCTGTGGACTGAAGGGTCCAGGTTTGATTCCGGTCAAGGGCACGTACCTCGGTTGCAGGCTCCTCTTAGGCCCAGGCCCTGGTTGTGGCTCGTGCAGGAGGCAGCCAATCAGTCTGTTTCTCTCACATCGATGTTTCTCTCTGTCTTTCCCTCTCTCTTCCAGTCTCTCTAAAAATCAATGGGAAAATATCCTCGGGTGAGGATTAAAAATAAAAATATTTTTTTAGCCCTAGCTGGTTTGGCTCAGTGAGTAGAGCATCGGCCCACAGACTGAAAGGTCTGGGTTCGATTCTGATCAAGGGCACGTAACTCAGTTGCCGGCTCGATCCCCAGCCCTGGTTGGGGCACGTGCGGGAGGCAACCAATCACTGTGACATCGATGTTTCTCTCTCTGTGTCCCTCCCCCTTCCTTCCACTCTCTCTAAAAATCAATAGGAAAATATCCTTGGATGAGGATTAACAATAAATAACTTTTTTGAGGGGGGGGGTGGAATTTTTAAATTGATTTTTTGAGAGAGAGGAATGGAGAGGGAGGGAGAGAGAAACATCAATGTGAGAGTGGAACATAGATGGGCCGCCTCCTGCACATCCCTGGTAGACCAGGAATCGAACCAGCCATCTTTCGGTGCCTGGGACGATGCCCAATGAACTGAGCCACACCAGCCAGGGCTTGGCTGCTTTTGATGAGAAAGAAGAAGAGCAAACTGGTCCAGAAGTGTTGATGCAGCGGTTGAATTATTTAAGAGGCTCGCACATACGGTGTGGGCGTTTGAAGTCTGTGTTGAGGAATGAGCAGGAAGGTCATTCTCCGGCCGTGAGGGAAGTCACTGTTTCCCAGAGGGTTCTCCTGGCATCCGAGCAGCTGCCCGGTCCTGTGCCCTGGGAGCGACAGCCTCCTCACTCTCCTCTCCCCCCTCTTCTCCGCAGTCCCAGCAGCGGTGCATCGTCATCTTCGCCCTGGTCTGCTGCTTCGCCATCCTGGTCGCCTTGATCTTCTCGGCCGTGGACATCATGGGAGAGGATGAGGACGGACTCTCGGAAAAAAACTGCCAAAATAAATGTCGGTAAGAGGTAACAGACAAAAATTCTCTCTTAGGGGGCGGGCGAGAGAGCCGGGGGGCCCTGGATAGTGGAGAGATGTCACAGCCGCACGTGGTCATCTGAGTTCACTCGCCTCTGGGTCCAACCGAGACTCGTATTTCGACAAGGAGAGAAAAATGAGTCGTGATTTCATTCACTTTACAGTTTGGGCAGGTCCTGTACCAGGGGGGTGGGGGACAGAATGACAGTCTGTACCAGTTCGCATTTCTGCATCAAGGCCTCTGCTTGTGAGGTTTCGGTCTGTTCTGTGACGGCCAAAAAAGGGGACCCCAAGTGGACGGGACAGTGTGCTAATTGTTCCATCAAATGGAAGTTAAAAAACACCATCATCTTCATGCCCAGCCGGTGAGGCTCAATGGTTGAGCATCAGCCTATGAACCAGGAGGTCACGGTTTGATTCCCGGACAGGGCACATGCCCGGGTTGTGGGCTCGATCCCCAGTAGGGGGCGTGCAGGAGGCAGCCGATCCATGATTCTCTCTCATCATGGATGTTTCTATCTCTCCCTCTCCCTTCCTCTCTGAAATCAATAAAAATATATTTTTTAAAAAAACTGAGGTCAACCACAAAATGACAAGTTACTATGAATTAGCGCTTATAATGAATTTTAATGACAATTTTCCCCCGTGGGAAGCATCGGTCTAAGTGCCTCTCCTTTCTGGCTTAAAATCAACCACCCAGCAACGTGCATGTGAGTTTTTATCCTGACTTTTCTGGGGTCGAACGTCTGGCACACACAAAAAATGCCTGGAAAAGGCCATTGGAGTTTGTTTTCTTTGCAGCTCAGGATATATGAGAGTCTAGTTACCAGGCAACTGTATTATATGGAGAACAAAGGATGCAGGAGAGAAATCCGTACACGTTATAGATTTATTCCTTCATGTTCAGAAGGCGTCCCTCAGTATATTTACTTCCCAGACTGGATTTGGGAGAATTGTGTTGGGATCATAAAAGCAATAGAACAATAGCGTTTGTCATTCTCTTGTCCCTGAAAGATCCCAACATAATGTGGACAAGGGGCCAGTGACTCGTACAGGGGAATGGCTCTGCCCTCTCTCTCACCTCACCCTGCAATGATTACTGCTGGTGCCCGAGCCAGTTTGGCTCAGTGGCTAGAGCGTCAGCCTGTGGACTGCAGGGTCCCAGGCTCAATTCCAGGCAAGGGCACATGCCCGGGTTGCGGGCTCGGTCCCCAGTAGGGGGCGTGCAGGAGGCAGCCGATCTATGATTCTCTCTCATCGTTGATGTTTCTAGCTCGCTCTCCCTCTCTAAATCAATAAAATAAAAAAGAAAGGCCTACCAAGCAATATGTAAATATTAACCCTCTCCTGTTCCTTTGAGAGTCAGAATCCCCCTCCTCCCTTCACAGCTGACTTTCTCTTCCTCCTGCGTCCTCGCTTCTCCTGAATCAACTTCCTCCTGATTTTAGTTGGGGGAGGTAAACAGGGACCAAGCACATGAGAACAGGGGCTATTTATTCCGAGCTTGTATCACAGGGCGGTCACCCACCGTCCCCTGCGTCTGGCAACGTCTCAAAGGCAGGCGGAGGAGGGGGAAACCTTTATAGTAGCAAAGAGGGAAGGTTCAGGTGCCCTGACTGGAGGCTGTTGGCGTGAGGAAGCTGGCGCCTGCCCACTAGCAGCGCGGCATCCTGGGTGACGGGCTGGGAGTGCCTGTTTGACTCCGGTGGGTCCCAGGTGGGAAGTGGGGACAGAAATTAGGGAAGCTGGCACTCGCTAAGCAAGCCATGGCCATTGGCTTCTAGAAGTCACGGCTCAGCCTCTAGATGATGACTCGGGAAAGCAGCCTGACTCAGAGCAGGCTGGCTTTCCGGGCTGGTTGTTCTAGGTCAGAGGTTGGCTCCCTGGGCAAGTGGCTATACTTTGTGGTCAGAGTCCTCTTTTATATACACTAGAGGCCCGACGCATGGAATTTGTGCAAGGGGCTCGACCCTCGCAGCCCCGGCTTCATCTAGAACAGCAGTTCTCAACCTGTGGGTCGCGACCCCTTTGGGGGTCGAACGACCCTTTCACAGGGGTCGCCTAAGACCATCGGAAAACGCATATAATTGCATATTATTTTTGTGATTAATCACTATGCTTTAATTATGTTCAATTTGTAACAATGAAATTGGGGGTCACCACAACGTGAGGAACTGTATTAAAGGGTCGCAGCATTAGGAAGGTTGAGAACCACTGATCTAGAAGGTCATCCAGAAGGATGTCCGGATGGACATCTGGAAGGTCGTTCAGCTGTCCAGTCTAATTAGCATATTGCGCTTTTATGATTATAGATGGTCTGGTCCATCGGCATCTGCAGTCTCCCAGTTTCTGGAACAGCCTCCTGGACCCCAGCCCCTTCTGTTTTAATGTGCAATGTTTTCGTTTTCTTGTTATCCAGTTGCTCCTTCCGGCAGCCTCCTCAGTCCTCCCCGGGTGACTTGCCTCCCTGGAGCTTTTGCTTCAGCTGCCAGTTCACAAACAGGCTGACTCCTGGCTCCGCGCATCCTTGTCCTCGGGGCAGCCTGGCCATGGCTCCAATCCCTCAACAGAGGGGAGTGGGTTTCTCAGTTCTTCAGTCCGAGGTTCCTTTTGGCAGGGATGCCCCTGGGAAAGGAGGGGAGACAATTTGGGGGTGCACCCCAAATTGAGGTAGACCAGAAGGGGAAGCGCCCACCTGAAGATGTTCTGCCCAGCATGCCAGTCCCAACAGCCCTCTGTACAGAATGCCACCCATCACCTCACTCCTTTCCTGACACTGACTTCCCAGACCCTACCTCAAGGTGGCGCCAGTGAGCACGTGCTGCTCAGCTTCCAATTACCCTTTCCTTGGCCTCCTGGCTTTCTGTTCCTGCGTTTCCCCTTAAGGTGTCCTTATCATAGAGAGTGCCGCCCGCCTGCTGAGATCTTATTACTGTGAAGCTACAATTAAACTCCCTCTGGGTTTGCAGCTCTTCCCACTCCTGGGAGCTGAAAGAATATAAACTGTCAGCGGCTTCTCTGTGTTCTGACAGCCTCTCCCCAAGAGCTCTCATCCCCAGCTCGCTCTCCTAAATATGTTATTTAATTCATCTTATCTCTACTACTTCAAGTCACACCGTCAACTCAGTCTTTCCCCAACTTTTATGTCTTTCTAAAACACTATCTTCTGCCCGGCCGGTGTAGTTCAGTGGTTGAGCTTCGAGCCAAGAACCAAGAGCCCACTGGTTCAATCCCCGATCAGGGCACATGCCCGGATTGTGGGCCCAATCTCCATTGCGCAGCATGCAGGAGGCAGCCGATGGATGGTATTTCTCTCTCATCATTGAAGTTTCTATCTCTCTCTCCCTGTCCCTTCATCTCTGAAATTAATTAAAAATATATATATTAAAAAACGAATGGCTTATTCTGCCAGTTTAGATTGCATACGTGCCATGGCTTGGCTATTTTATATTTTACTAGTGCCCCTGATTATAATTTTATACCATTTTTGCAAAAGATGACTATGTACTGTGAGGTTTCCTACGCATTACGTCTCCAGGGACCCGTAGAAACACTGGAACTTACCTCCAGGTGCTGCCCAGGTACAGAACACCTGCTCACAGCAGAACACCCAGCGTTTCATGGGGGCGGGGAGGGGGCATCATTTTTGTATTTTGCAACTACACCTGTCTCACCTGTCCACATCACTTTTGTTAGATTATTACTCGCCCACTCCTTGGCGGCACTACTAGACATCTACTAGAAGAGGGCTTTTCTTGACCACACCTTCCTGAAAAATCCACACAGAACTGCTCTCACCCTGCTCCTTCTCCACCCCAGGCCCAATTCCCATAACAGCATGGCAGTTCATTTCTGCCAACTCTCACTAGACAAGCTGAGTAAACATAAAATTTTGGTGGGTTATCATTGTCTATTAATCATATTGCTGGATGCTTGTTACCTATTCTGTGCAGGTAACAACAGTAGACTAATGTTACCCTCGGTGATCATAATTATGGAAGGCCCTGCTCCTGGCCCTCCTCACGTTCGCCCCTTGTCCTCCTCAATCAGCCCCCATGCCCGGGGGGTTACTGGCCTAGTTCCGCTCACTCTTGCCCACACACCTGCAGATCCATGTTAACTGAAGCCCACTTGGTCTGAAGCAGGAAGGGGATGGACCAACTCTGTGTGCATATGTGAAATCCACGATTCCTAAACCCAGGAATCTTCTTTCATCCTGAAATGAATGGGCTTGGGTCTGTACAATATTTTAGGCTGGGTCACCAATGTATAAGTTATCACAGTGGTTCTCCAATAAGGGGTGGCCTGGAGCACTAGGGTTTGGCCACAGAAAGTATAACAAACATCACACACACACACTTTTTACATATACTTGCTAAATTCTTTAATTTCTCTATGAAAAAGCTGATTTCTCTATTTTATGTATTTTACATATTTTGTGTTCTGAATCTCTTCCTCTGATCCCTTATTTTCTTACTTAAAATAATAAACTATGTCTGTAGACATATCTATATTAATGATCTAGTTGCAGCTCTAATATAGTAGGACATGCAGAATTTGCTTCTTCAGTAGATACCATGTATAGAAGACAGCATTGAGGGACCTCTGTATGCACTGACAGCCACCTCCTCATATTTTGTACTTTCTCATTTAGTGTCATGGCCTTACAGCTATCTTAACAGACTCAGCTGGCTGCAGTAGGTTTTAATCATTGTGGGGATTTTTTTCTTTTAATGCCCGTATTGTTTTTACTTGGCTAGAGCGAGCTGTCTTGGACTTTTGGGCACTAGTCCACATATCTGAGAGCAGCCTGGCTTTCTGGCAACAACAAGCTGTTCTGGCCCCGTGATAGTATCTACTCTCTGGTTCCTTTTGTGGAGAATTCGACACCCAAGTTCCAAGGGTGTCATTAGATGGTCCCTCAAGGGGATGGGGGACAGGTACAGTGACACAGAGGAAAGGCTGGTCTCATTCTTTGTGTGA